TCCTAGTTAGATTGCAGGCATGGCGGCTAGTGTAGAACTCAGGTGGACCACTTAAAATAGACAACCAAAAGTTGTACATGTGGCTAGTTGTACCCTCATCATAATTGTAACATTGTTAATTATCTAATAAAAAGCCCTCCGGCCATAGAGATCACCTTAAACACAAAAAAAAAAAAAAAAAAAATGTTTACAAATACTCAAAAACACAATTTGCATACTTACCTGTTTATATAATCTAATAAACATTAAAAAAATTATATGTAAAGCAATAACTAAAGTGTGCCAAAAAAATAAAACAAACATACCACCAACTTATGATTTTATACAAGATTTTATTACAACTTATATTAAAAAACAAATCCCAATTAGATTTATTAACTCTTTAAAACTAGGATTACTCTTTTAAAACAATACCATAATTTCACAAATATATTATATAATTACTAAAAGTATACATGAAGAAATATGAAAACCAAGTTAAACATATACACAACAATCTACCTCTGATCTTTTAGTTATTATTACCCTCTTAGAAACTGATACTTCTTTTAGTTTATTAGATAGACAATTTATGATATGGCTTAACAAATTTATTCACTATAATTTTATATTCTCACTTCTTAATTACATAGCCTAGAGATTTTTTGACCATTTTAGCTAAGAATAGATTGAGGATAAATCCTAGTCCAACTTCTACTCTCTTTCATTAAATGTATAAATTTGTACAAGTTGTATTTAATTATATATTTTAAAATAAAGAAATAAAGAAAAGATCTCTTTTAAAAAAAAAAATTTTTAGTTGGCAACCTAAAAGAGTTAATCTACTTAGACTTTAGATATCTATATAGTTTTTCTTCTTTTAGTATATACTTTTAGAGTATATATCTTTTTTTTCTAGTTTGATGACCTGATAGTTTAGCTAGTATATTCTTCTACTTAAAGATCTAATTACTTAGTTCTGGTTTCAAATTTGGTCTTTTTGTAGTATTGTTAAAAATTATACTATCTTCCAACTTAGAACTTGTCAAACAGTTTTTAATTATTCTAGTATTTTAAATTTATTACAACAAAGCTTTTATTCTAAATAGTATAATCAAAATTACAAATTTCTAAATCCTATCAATTATCGAATAGCTATCAACTATATTATAAAGCTATTTTTTAAAAATATCATTTATAAAATTCGAACTTTAGACTTGCTATCTAGAGATGCGACAACTCTACTACTTCACTAAGTCACTATACCTTTTAAAATATTTTGTTTATAAATAAGCAAATATTGTTATTTGTATATAAAACCTCCCATAGCAAAAAGGTATATTGGGCTAAAAATTTTTTTTTATTTTAATTGATTTCTTGAAAAATTAAACTAATAGGATTACAATTTTTATAAAATTACAAAATTAAAATTTTTGTCCTAATGCACCCTTTTGCTGTGAAGATCCCCATATATTAGTTTAAAAAACTATAAAATAATTATATATAAATATTTTATATTATTATTATTATTATTATTATTTTTGGTATTATGATGATCTCTATGGCCAGGAACTTTTTATTAGATAATTAACAATATTTACAATTATGAAAAGAGTACAACTAGTCATATATACAACTTTTAGTTGTCTATTTAAGTAGTTCACCTAAGTTCTATACTAGCTATTATACTTGCAATCTAACTAGAAAATTATCTATTTAAGCTCTTTAGTTTTTACAAATGAAAATACAACTAGCTATATATGCAACTTTTGATTGTTTATTTAAGTTATTGATAAAAAAAATTTTATGAAATAAGAATTATATAATAATTAGAACGTGGTGTGTTTTTGTTTTAGCTTAGAAAATAGTGGGGTATGGCTTAATAAAATTCAAAGTAAATGCACAAAAACAGGTCAAAAATCATTTTAACATACAAATTTGTACGCTAGATGGTTTAAGGGATACGATATACAGAATATATTATTTTTCAAACTATTTGGCCAATTTAGTTTATTACTATAAAGACTTTTAATTATTGATAAGCGAATTTTTAGTTAACTAGTGAATTGACCAACTCTTTTACATATAATCTATTTATTTTTAAACAATATAATTGCTAAAATGGTGTATTTTAATAATTTTCAATATTTAAACCTCTATACAGACGCGTGTCATGACTATTGTAATTAAAATTTGCAAATTAATTTAAAATAATTAAAATTTATACAATTGCATCAGTATAATTGGTATACACCCGACCCTACAGATGCGTGATCGATATTATATTTCTATAACATCTTCCAATCATACTGAATCCTGCTATTTCACACATTTAATTGTTCGACATAATGGAAAACAGGCCTGGTTCTCCAGAGATTTACTCCTCGACAGGCGCGCTAGGGCAAACGTTTCAGCTAAACCTCTAGCCATCCAGGTTGCTATAATTAAAATAGATTTTTAATTACAGCGCCGGTCCTACACTATTTCACTATCTTCCAATATATTACTCTTCTTAATTCCATATGTCATATTCGAGCCATTCATTAAGACCCATTTACTAGATTTGAATCTCCATAAATAAAATCATAACCAGCATGTCTCCTTATGCTAATATTGGTAGGCCCATTTCAAGCATACGCTATCGTCAATGTGCGCCTATGCCTTCGACAAAGTCTCCCAATAATTCGCGGACGCCAATTATGATAGAAGTTGTTTCGGTTCGCCTTTAGTAACTTCAGCCTTAACTTCAGAAGCATCTTGTGAAGGCTATTTCTCTTCCTGGCTTACTATCATTCAAGTGCACTTCTTCCTTGAAGATACGTTGCTTCAGACGTCGACGATTTAACAAGATACCGACTGCTCTCCTAAAAACATATTTCCTTAAGGCCGTCAATTAAAGAGGTGTAGGCCGCAGGTCTCTCATAGCGGTAATACTCACAGTCAGTTCTAATTTCGATTTAATAGTCCACACGTACTACTAAAGTCTTAAGAACATGCATATTCAATGTGATTATACTGACGGTGGTTAGATAATCCAAAAAAACCAAAACATGATTAATCCATTAAGCTCCATTATTGGGTTTACGCCATCAAAATCCAAACAAACACGTTGTATAGTATTTAGATTATGAACTAGAGATTAGCGGTCGCTCGACTAGAGTTTAGCGCCCAGCTGGTGCTACCCGAGTAAGCAGATTATGGTCCCTTAAAATATTAAATATTTTCCACTAACACTTCCACTTAGGGTCATATGTTTAATCAATTCTAACTTCGGGTAGGCGCACCCCTCCATTAGACTTCAAAAACATACTTAGCATCAATATCCATGTTAACTTTCCAAATCTAATATCGACCAGGATCTTTTGCTACATACCGGACACCCAGAATACGTGTTGAATACACTTCATCCTTTGCAGCCTGGGACCACGTGGTTTCCCCAATTTCGTTGCTGCATCGTCAGGCCAACATTGCATTCCTTTTTTGCTGAAGGTTCACTCTGCGAACTTGAGGGTCTCTCTGCCATAAAATGATTAGAAGTTCGCTGAAGACGTACCTACCCCTTTTGAAGGTCCATTTAAATACTCTGTCCGAAGAGAGCATTCTTTAGCGCATACCTATCAACCAGCATAGGTTGATCTATTTAAAACATCTGTAATCACTATACCCCATATTCATCCTTCATTATTTGATGTATTAGCATCTAACTTCACGCCTTTCTCAATCATGTTCAGGTCCTTTAAAATTAAATAACGAACGGCCAGACCTAATGAGTAGCTATTCGATCCGAGTAAACTAACTCTGATACCCTTTCGGGTGTCTGTTGACTATATCTTAAGCAACCAACATGATTTCAGAGCTCTAAATCTAGGTAAAGAGTTGCCTCATGTCGCTCACCCACTACCATTTAGTCTGTGAACTGCACGCACGGGTTGCAAAAAAAAAAAAAAAAAGAGCAGTGAGCCCAGAACGCTTGGCTGCCGATTGCCCATTCCTCCTTTTAGAGGACACATAGTAAATAGAGTTTATTATGGAGTACAGCACCGCCCCTACTGCTAAGGCTTTCATCCATTTAAGATGTGCATCGCATAAGTGACAAAATTTAAGCCTTCCAGTACTTAACATGTCATCTTTAGCTTAAATCCTTTGGATTTTTACCATCCACTAACCTTTCGATTAGCTGCTGCGAAGCCGCTTTCGCGCCTCCCGCGGTACCAAAGGCTTTAGGGGTTTCCGGCAATTTGATAGTGTTGCTCACATTGGATTTTAGACCACTTTACACCACTGTTACCATGGTTACAAGCGTTTCCAATGATCACTAGCAATTTACTTCCAGTTCTACAAAGGGTTAGGAGCTGGTTTGGATTCATGAGTTGTTACCTTCCCAGAGCCTCCCAGCAACTGATCCCTCCTTCAACCCAAATTTTTCACCGATTAATTTGTATCCTTTCCCAATTAATCTTTGCCTAAGAGTGTGTATTCTATCCATGATGTAAATCAAATTCATGTTCCGAAACACTATCACGTTACCCAATCAGCCTGACCAAGGTGGCATTATGCCAAAAACCTTATGTTTACCTTGGTTTAGGGTTCACAGTGAGTTCGCTGTTTCTGCAAGATTGGCTTTCTCGTTACACATGACCGGCTGCAGTTTGATATTAATATCACTTCGTGCGATTATTACTCTTTTACCTCGGATTAATTTTGTGTGGTTATCATTAATCGCCTACTATTTAGTAAACTGTCGTAACTGCTTTTGTACTCTTCATTAGGGAGTCCTTAATCCCCCAACGGCAAAGTATAAATATAAGATTTAATTTTAAAAAAAAAAAAATTAAATTGAAACTAATATTGATAGCCTCTAACATTTAGAAACCGAATAATAAAGATTTCTACTTAAATAATTATTAACAAGTTAGCAAGTATCATTATGACAAATGAGCAACTGGATTTTGAGTTAATTAAACATCCTTGCCCTATGTATAAGCAGACTAACAAAAAACAAAATAGGCATTCACCATATTTGAATGAAACGTGTTAAATACAGTATATCTAGTTTACATAATAATGAGAAAAACAAATGAATGAACGCAAGAATTTATCATTATGGTTTAAATGCTTTTTAAAGAAGATAAGTAATACTGAGTTATTAATTTATGTGCACAAGCCTTCGAATAGATAAATCATATTATCATATTCGAACTGAAACGAGGCAACAATTACATCCACACGCACACTACAATGTTATCGAAGAGGCGTGGAGACGACTTGAGCGAGTAACAATTTTTTTTTTTTTTTTAATACGTAAGAGATTTTGTTGTTGCTTTTATACATCTTCCAGACTGTTAACTAGTTATGCTATTTTAGGACTCTCTATCCGTATTTCTCCACACTTTCACACTATCAAACATTCTCAGATTACAACAGGTGTGATTTACTTTTATTATCCGTTTTGGACTCTAACGCCCCACTAATAATTCCTTTTCTACAGCTTCACCAAACACAAACTTTCCATTTCAACTCTACAATTACTATTCTTATTGACAACCTAGCAGCAATTAACAATCTATATAATCTTTCATCTTCAAAACTTATTCAAAACAAAAACTAGGATATAATCACAATTATTAATTCTATTAAATCAACCAAAAATATTACTATTATTCCTGTTAAAGTTAAATCACACT